CCTCCTCCTGCAATCACATCAGATCACCAATCATTGGAAACAGGTAGCAGCCATTACCCCCTGCTTGTAGGAAGAGAGAGAGAGAGAGAGAGAGAGAGAGAGAGAGAGAGAGAGAGAGAGAGAGAACAAACGGGGAAAAAAACAAATACGTCCTTGGACGTAACGTCTAAACGGTTTGTCCATAATTTTTTTCTCCATCTTATAGGCTTTTGGATGCCACTCTTCTACTTCTTCTTCAGTCTTGTTTGAATAATAATTTAATTTCATGCATTTCTCATCTTTACTAGGTCCCTGTTCTTTCATTACTTATGATTCATATCACTTTTGCTGCCGCATAATCATTAGGTAGGTTATTATAATACAAATACAAAAGGAGACAACATCCCATCTTTTCACTCTTGACTTTGAGAAAAATTATTACTGAGGAGAAACTCTCCTAAGAGCTCAGAAACCCAGCAGGAACTTGTAGAATCAATTACACTAGTATTTATGTGTTAAGTGACTGAGTAGATGTCTCTTCATGACTACAGGCATATATACAGTGTAGAGCTTTATCCAGTGTTATGAACATGGCCACTGCTATAAAGAAGTCACTGTGAACTGACACCAAAGCATATTGTAAAGAACATCACATGCACATCATATCATAACTTAACTCAAGTTTTCCATTAACCTCAGAATACATTAATCATCAATGAGACACAATTAGATGCATATTCTTTATGAAAATATTTGTTTCATGAATAGAACTTTTAATGATATAGATTATTGTGATTTGTGTGTTTTTGAGTGCCAGAAGGACATTTAAAGCAGTCCTCACTATTTAAAATGCTCATAAATCCACCAAATCACATTTTCTTTAAATCTGATAAAGTTAACAGGTTTCTATGAGGATTTGGTTTGGGTAAAGTATAAAATGTTAAATTGGTATAAAACCCCTTGAGGACTGCCACTCTATTAAATATGTTGTAAATTGCTATGGTACAAGCTAATTAACAGCTTGTAATTTATTTTTACTTAATATAAATCTGAACTTTTATTTTTTAATGCCTAAATAATATAGTCACATAATATATATAATATATATATTAAGTAAATTGTAATTTATATTAAGTAAAAATAAATTACAAGCTGTTAATTAGCTTGTATCATAGCAATTTACAACATATTTAATAGTATTCTTGTAGCTTGTATCATAGTAATTTACAACATATTTAATAGTACTCTAATAATATAAAATATTATTATATTATATTATCTGACCTACCCAACAACCTTCTAGCAAATGTAATAATAAAAAAATAAACATTATTTCACATGAACAACTATATAGGTACAAACTCACAAAGGTAACTATATAGATTTTTTTTTTAAACATAGCAAAAGAATTGGATGCCTGTGAGCATGCAGGGGATGTTTGTGACAAATGCTCCAGGTTCATTCCTCAAAAGACAGCAAAAGAAATAAAAACAAAAAAACGCATTTAAAAGGACATTTGCAGAAACATTATGAATGTGGGAGTTTTCTATTTTGTTTTTCACTTTTCGTTTGTCTAGGATCATCACAGCAATGATTCAAATGAGACTTCCTGAGACACACACACAGGCATCACCCTAATGCGTTTCTTTCTGCCACATCTCTTTACAAAGATAGACCATTAAAGCTGATCACAGAGGCATGTCTAGCATCAGTTCAGTCTTTTTTATTTGCTCGAGGGAGGATGCCCTTCATTAAAATAACAACGGCTCATCTCATGCATATGGAAATGGAACTTTCACCATCTCCAGTACGGGGTTTGGCCTGTCCTAGTCTTATGCAGGACACATCGCAGGATTAGGAGGAGGTCACGCGTTCATCCGCACGGCTCCATTGACGTATGCACAGCCTATTCCATCCCCAAATCCTAACCTTGAGCAATGTGACCGAAACCGAAACTGCCTGATCTCAAATCAGCAGTGAGAGTGAAACTCACCCTCGGTTTTGAGCAGAGGACCCAAGATGTTTTATCATCTTGATGTTTTATCATGCAATATGGTACGATCAAAAGGGACAAAAAGTGAAACCCCTAATCACTCAAAATCACTAATCACTCAAAAGCCTTCGTGATCAAAACAAGCCTGTTGAAATCAATGTTCCCACTTCAGAGTACCAGATTGTCATTTAGTTCCCTACTATATCCCTTTGTCTCAGTTGGATGAAAATGTTTGGGTGACAGGGATGAAGGGGCCTTGTGGAAGTGTGTCTCGCAAAGGGGTCAGCATAATAACAAGATTAGTGAGTTTTAATTTAGATTAAACAGGGTTTGCCCAATAATGTCCCTTCCCCTAAACCATAATAACCACCTGCCTCTAACAACCAATAGTAAGTAGTAAATCATGGTTCAGTGTGCCTTCGGTAGCACTAATGCTCATAATATATTTTCTTTTTCCAGGCCATCAATTTGCTGCAAAGGAAGTGGCTAGAATTAATTCATTTTGAAAGTGACTTCATGGCTTTCGTCCACAGTACTTGTCCGGGGTGGTTTTGACAAACTAAAAGCTATTAGATATAAAAAAAAAAGAATTTGTGGTATCTTGACTGATATTAGCATAATATGGATGAATCAATGTAGTTTCATGCCTGTAAATTTTAAAAGCATTTCAATAAAAAAAATCCCTGAAAACACTGTTAAAGTGTGTTCTTTTGGACTTAAGATTTCATTGACTCAGTTACACCTTTGCTAACATGGCAGTGATGCTAATGCAATGCTGAGCACACATCAGCAGAACATTATGCATGCGCCCGATTGGCGGCAACTGCCTTCATTACGCAAAACCTGATTAAATGTTCCCTCCAGGCCGAAGTAATGATCCCTCACCTATTGTTATTCATATTCGCTAAGGGTTCAGGGCTAAGCAGCTCCTTGTATCTCCACTTTGGGCTCCATTAATAATGTCTATTCACAGCCATAAGTTCGGCATTTGTAAATGACACCTGGGGGTGCCCGCAAATGGTGTGCGATTTCACATGGGGCCTGGTCGTGAGTGTATTAATGTCCATTTGTTTGTGTGTTTGTGTTTGCGTGACAAGTGGACATATGTTATCTAGCATTTCTAGCAAAGGCCCAGATTGTCCTCGCTAATGCTCAGATGCTCCCTAAAGAATCAAAATGCACATATTTACATAATGCGGGAATGTAAAAACAATCAAATGAGCGGGAAGGATGGGGGGAGGAGACGGCAGAAAGGAGGAGGTAAGGCTAAATTTCGCTCTCATTCTCACTACAGCCATAATGGATGCTGCTGATTACCACTGATAGTGTCACACCTCTTTCAACTTCTGCATTAAACCTCTGAATATTCAAAGCGATTTATTCAAAATGATTTTTTTCTAATGGCATGTTGTCACTGAAACGATGCTTTTTCACTCTAGACAGCCAAGCTAATTGGACCTATAGGGATTTAGGGAGGTTCTGAGGAGCTGAACTGAATGTGCTTGTTTTGTTAAAGTTAAAAATGGAAATTTAAAATAATAGTAGAAACTAATAAGCATAAAATGTAGCACTTGAAGTTCAAAAGCAAACACGATTCAGCCGACCCAACTTTAACATAGCATTCAAACTACATTTTGGTTGATTTGGGGGTTTTCAAATTAATAATTGGCCAGTTCACTGGTTCAAAGCATGTCAAGGTTGGTGATAGTAACAAGGAAAAAGCACGCATTAAGATATTTCTTTACCATAAGTACATTTTTTTTTCGACAGTTAAAGTGACAGTTAAAGACTTTTACATTGATGCTAAAGATTTCTACTTCAACTAAATGCTGTTCTTTTGAACCTTTATTCATCAAAGGATCCTAAAAGAAATTATCACCGTTTCCACTAACATAAGCACCACAACTGTTTTCAACATTGATAATAATAAGAAACGTATAGACTGGAGTAATGGCTGCTGGTTATTTTAAAGTCTAATAAGATTTCACAATATTAGAGTTTTAATATTTTCGATATAGAAATGTATAGTGTGTGTATACATATACATATCCAGCTTCAAAGAGTTAAAATTCCTGTCTACTTTATCACAATTCTGCACAGAGTTCTCCAGTCATTAACATCGTCACCGCCACCGCTCCATCCAATACATTCTCAAAATCATCTTTCCTGGTTCAATACCTCCCCAGACCCCCAGCATGCAGACAATCAAGTGTTTTCTGAATCACTCGCCCCACCGCCTGATAAATTATTCAGCTGAATATAAGTAGACACTAAAAATTTAATGATTTGCCAAGTTGGATTCTGTAGAACAAGCCGGAATACGAAGACAGGATCAGTGTGGCCTGGATCTTAATATATTACTGTAACGGCACAGCTGGGTTGTTTTAATAAAAGCCTTTTGAAATATTGGCCCATATAGGCAGATTTACTGATTTGTGATACTGTGAGCAGATGAAAAAACTTGGTTTGGAAGTGATATATACACGTTCTAAGGTGAAAGTTGTGTTCCTATGAATACAAATGCATTAACAAGCTGTATGTGAGGCTGCCTGAATCGCCATATAAAGCTGCATAAATAAATAAACACTCAATCTTCCTTTCATCATCTTGGAAATGAAAGGTAAATTTAGATTTAATATGGGGTTGTGATTCACACACCTGCTGAATCCACATATCAACACAGCCACACAAGGCAGTGTCAACTGGAGTGTGAAGAAGCACTTTATACACACACAAACACACACACAAACACACATGTTTGTCATTTTTATACTTAGCTAATGATATTTTCCATCCCCTACCCCTAAACCTAACCTTTTTGCCTTTTTAGATCGTCTTAAAACCTTTAGTATGCTGTACAAATCCACAAAGTCCCTACATTTTCACTTTGGTTGTACTCTTAAGTTGCACAGTGCAGTTAACATTTATATGGCAAATGTAAAATTATAAAAAATAAAAAAAATTAAAAACACAGAACATGCTGACTTCAGATATCTCAGATCAAATTTAAATGTTAATGGTTGCTAACCTGCTCAAAATCTCCTGCTTCATTGGTCAGGTTGTGCCAAACACCCAACTGATCCACTGACCTGTCACCCAGGAGGCCATCCTGGAGGACAAAAAGTGAAAAAAAATCAAGAGGTTAAGTAATGTTCCTTAGCTAAATTGTTATCATAAATTAATTACACCAAGTTCTTGAAATCACATTCTAAAACCACAGGGAATTTCTGTTAATCCTACCTTTGACTTTTCATCTATTCTGTGTGGAAAGTCTCAACTGATGGGTCACAGATGGGGTCAGAAACTAAAACTAGATATGCAAATACTGAATGAGTAGAGAACAAATCCCAACAGTCTCAAAAGTGCCGAAACTTAAAACAGTGATAACATAAAAACCTACCATGACACTAAACATTGACCAGATAATTATAGGGGGGAGGGGGGCATAAAAACTGCCCTCATAAAGGTAAAAAAAAAAAAAACTGAAATCCAGTGGCAAATATTGAGGAAGTATATTTTTGACACTAGTTGCAGGTCAATTTTATTAAAATAATAATAAGAATAATAATAAGATTTAAAAAATTAAAGTAAATACAGCCCAGACATTATAAATATGTGCGCACTTGTAATTCATTCATCTACAAGAGAAGGGTATTGGATTACACACCGTGTTTTTTTGTCAAGCAGAGCATAGAAATATCACAATATTGATAAAGCGAAAGGTCTGAACTGAGGTATCTTGTTCTTAAGTCTGTGGTATTGGAAATCTATGCCATTTCATTACACCAATTTACCTGCAAATCTCTACTGCCCCCAATTGGGATCGAGGCACGAGATAACATTTGCACAAAATTTGCCATATAATTTAAAAGTTTGTATCAATAAAAGTTTGATTGATATGCCCCTTTGTTTTACCTGTCCAATCCCTTTCTTCCTTCTTCCACCAAAATCAGCAATATCGCAGGTGCCTGATTGCTAACAATACACTGTTTATCACTAATGATGTCACTTCCCCCCACCTTACGTGAGCACTTACACAGAGGTGCAATCCAAGCAATAACCGCACTGTGAAACAGCCTGCAGCCCTGCGTGAATCAATGGCTGAGTTTTGTAAACCTAAACACGTAGCTCTAGAAAGGACAAGACATGTGCCCACCCTCAAGGGCCTGGCCTTCAGACCATATTCCACCTAACATTCCCTCCTCTATCCAAAAACAACACCAAACTCTCTCCCCCACACAACAACACAATGACTGTGCAAAAGCAAATGCTGTTGACACCATGAAAAATGGCCTTGCTCATCTTTTATACACTAATTTGGGTGTTTGCACTTCCATTCTTTGTATTCAAGCTAGTTTGCGCTTTGTTTTAAAAGCTTATGCTGTATAAATATAATTGTGCATGCAGAACAGATTTGGTCAACACTCTCAGAAGCAAGAAACGGCTGGCAAATAAGTGCTGAGAACAAGAACACTCTTCTAGACCTGCAAGTCAACACTCACTGTGAATCAATAAGAGAAACAGAGCTCAGTTTCCCCATTTATTACTCCAAGAGGCGATAAATTACTGAACAGCACTCCACGCCGCAGCTAATAAGTTCAAAACAGGGGAGTTAGCAACTTTCCAGGGCATTATCATATTCTATTTCAAATCCCAGCTATTGACATAATTGGGCAGCTGAAGCGGTGACTATAGCAATCCACACTCTGCTCAGTGCCATGTCAGCCAAACAGCGTGTAAAGAGACTTAAAGTAATAAGGTCTCCTGTGCATTCAACCTGTGAGAGAGGTGCAGTGCCCTAGGATCCATCGTTTTGAGCTTCACAGTAAGCGGCACTACAGAGTTAAATGCCCTGTGTGTGTGTTGAATGGCCAATTCATAATGAGGAGTTTTGTTCAATCTCTTAAGAACATGAATGCAGTGGAGTCTCTGAATTGTAGGCACCTTGCAAATGGGTATTGAGGTAAAGCCGCTTAAATCCAATATTATACAGAGGGGTCTTACACTAGTAATAATGCTTCTATTGTGCAATATTTAATATTTAAATAAATGTAAATAAATTACGGAAGTTCTAAGCGGCCATGCATTATTATTTTTTTCCTTCTTGTTTTCTCGTTATAACGACTTATTTTCTCGTTATATCGACATAACGAGAGTTGTTTTCTCGTTATAACGACTTATTTTCTCGTTATATCGACATAACGAGAGTTGTTTTCTCGTTATAACGACTTATTTTCTCGTTATATCGACATAACGAGAGTTGTTTTCTCGTTATAACGACTTATTTTCTCGTTATATCGACATAACGAGAGTTGTTTTCTCGTTATAACGACTTATTTTCTCGTTATATCGACATAACGAGAGTTGTTTTCTCGTTATAACGACTTATTTTCTCGTTATATCGACATAACGAGAGTTGTTTTCTCGTTATAACGACTTATTTTCTCGTTATATCGACATAACGAGAGTTGTTTTCTCGTTATAACGACTTATTTTCTCGTTATATCGACATAACGAGAGTTGTTTTCTCGTTATAACGACTTATTTTCTCGTTATATCGACATAACGAGAGTTGTTTTCTCGTTATAACGACTTATTTTCTCGTTATATCGACATAACGAGAGTTGTTTTCTCGTTATAACGACTTATTTTCTCGTTATATCGACATAACGAGAGTTGTTTTCTCGTTATAACGACTTATTTTCTCGTTATATCGACATAACGAGAGTTGTTTTCTCGTTATAACGACTTATTTTCTCGTTATATCGACATAACGAGAGTTGTTTTCTCGTTATAACGACTTATTTTCTCGTTATATCGACATAACGAGAGTTGTTTTCTCGTTATAACGACTTATTTTCTCGTTATATCGACATAACGAGAGTTGTTTTCTCGTTATAACGACTTATTTTCTCGTTATATCGACATAACGAGAGTTGTTTTCTCGTTATAACGACTTATTTTCTCGTTATATCGACATAACGAGAGTTGTTTTCTCGTTATAACGACTTATTTTCTCGTTATATCGACATAACGAGAGTTGTTTTCTCGTTATAACGACTTATTTTCTCGTTATATCGACATAACGAGAGTTGTTTTCTCGTTATAACGACTTATTTTCTCGTTATATCGACATAACGAGAGTTGTTTTCTCGTTATAACGACTTATTTTCTCGTTATATCGACATAACGAGAGTTGTTTTCTCGTTATAACGACTTATTTTCTCGTTATATCGACATAACGAGAGTTGTTTTCTCGTTATAACGACTTATTTTCTCGTTATATCGACATAACGAGAGTTGTTTTCTCGTTATAACGACTTATTTTCTCGTTATATCGACATAACGAGAGTTGTTTTCTCGTTATAACGACTTATTTTCTCGTTATATCGACATAACGAGAGTTGTTTTCTCGTTATAACGACTTATTTTCTCGTTATATCGACATAACGAGAGTTGTTTTCTCGTTATAACGACTTATTTTTCTCGTTATATCGATATAACGAGAAAAATAAGTCGTTATAACGAGAAAACAAGAAGGGAAAAAAATAATAATGCATGGCCGCTTAGAACTTCCGTAATAAATAATAATTTAACAATAATATATGTTACAATTATCCTTTAAAATTGTATATATTTTTAAAATTGAATTATATTTATAATTATACTATATATAAATAATATAATTTTCTAGTTTAATATAATTTGAATGAAAAGTAAAAGAAATTATGAATTTGAACTTTAAATATATGTTTGTTTGTTTTTTACATTATGTATGCTGGGAATACACCAAAGAGTGTCTTGTGCTTCAATGGAAGAAAAGAAGTGTACACACTGAAGAAAAAAAAAAAGTGTAGAAATGATTTTCTCCAGGAAATTGTTAGTACATTTCATAAACAATTACAAAAAATGACAAGTAACATTAAAATATGTGAAATTTTGAAGCAGAAATACTGAAATTGCATTTTCGTAAAACAATAATCATTCATTTTCTTTTTTTTCAACTTCGAAAAATCTATTTTTTGCAGCACATGATTATTGTCACAATTTTGATTTGATTAGTGACTTAGAAATCTTAAATATTTCTTGTCCATTTTACAACTATCTCTTAATTTCATTCAAGTTTTGTTTACATTTTTTTAATAATAAAAAATACTTTATTTCCAGCACTGTAAAAATTATTTTTATTATTTTTTTATTTTTAAGTTGTAAATAAAAAGATTAGGTATCGGAGTACATTTTACAAGAAAATGCTATTTCAGTCTTTAATTCGATGTGTCACTTGCCATTTCTTTGTCATTATTTGTGAAATTTACAAGCAATTTAAGTGAAAATAGTTTCACAGTGAATACTACACAAGTTTTTTTCTACTGTCTGTCCCTGTCAAGAGAACAAAGCTTTTGTGCAGGCAGGGGCCAGGGGGATTGAGTTTGTACCACAATGTCTTTCTGTCCCGCTCGCTCTTCCTCCATGCCCTGTCATTAAATGCAGAGCAAGAAATGTCACAGTGGGGCACTGATGTCAGAGTGGTTCAGTCCCCTCCTGAGCGTTAAATTAAGCGAGACAGAGAATGACCCTTTTAGTTCTACTGTAGACATGTGATACAAGACTGTTTAGACCACCCGGTCACATCGGAAGATGTGGTTTTCTTTTTTTTTGTCCCCCTCTTCTGAACCTAAATTTTATATAATATAAGTTTAGCTCTGAAATGACCTTCAACCCTGAGATGATCAGCTCTGAATTAGAATTTTTTTCGTCCCTTTCAAATTCATTTTCTCCCGATGTCTACCAAGCAACATTTTGACCATGACATCAGTGTTCTGCAACTCCTATCATACTAGAATCTTACATATTTAGAAAATTGTTATTGGGTGGTTGCCATGGTGTTGCTACATGGTTGTTAAGGTGTTCTGAGTGGTATTTATCATATTTGTATGTGGTTGCTGCTAGGTGGTTTGCTTATAGTGGATTCAAGTCATGTCAGAAATATCATTTATATCATTCATAAAATTTGTTTTTATTTACAATAAAACTAGATGCACAAAATACAACAGTACTGCATAATTAATCATACCTTTTTTACAATATGGTAGAATATATACTAATATCATTAATATTATTAGCAAAACACACATAATGTGCATTCTTTATTCATCATTTTGTAGATGATTTCTTACTGTATTTATTTTTTTGTGAACTTTTTATTGTCTTTCACATATAAACAAAATAACATTATTAGAACAAAAAAATCAAGGGAGGAATAACAGAGATATTACCAATTATTTAACAATCTGACAAGAAAGAAAATAATAATACTGATAATAAATAAAAAAGCAATTAAAAAAAATATATATAAAAAAGAATAAAAGAATCAAAATAAATATAAATAAAAAAATCAATGGTACCAGGTTTGGCCTTATTAATTAGTGCAATTGTACACTCACAAGTCACTATTTTAAGGATCCAATGTTTTTGCATATGTGTGCAGTGTAAAAAACATACTATATTTTTTTGTAGAAAAGATACAGTAGCCTAATATACCTCACCATTTTACTCCAAACAAAGTGATCTGAACGCACTTGATTACATACAAATTTGATTTCTTAACTCATAAATATGAACTTCCCATGAGGACTTGAAATCAGAAGAGCCAATCTCCCAAGTCTCTATAATATTCTGGTGCTTAGAAATGGCTTGAGTTTTTTATCTGATTTCAATCTATGGGATTTTTTCCTGTTTTATCATTCAGTCAGTTAAAATCATACATCTGATTTTTTAGAAGTAATAAAGCACCCCTCATCCACAAGTCACATGATTTGGCATCACTCATGTTCGCACAGATATTGTGGGATAAGTTTATTCATTCTGTAAACCCCCTAGCCCTATAATACCACAATATATATTTAGGTTGGAAAATCAGAAAGCAGAGAAAGGAGAAAAGTGACAGGTTGTCCAATCTGGCAGTTCCTGCTTTCTCTTCATTTGACAACTCCAAATGCTTTGGCCCCCTTTCTGACATGTGACAAAGACACCATACGCAAAGTATTTTTTGCCCTTTGTGAATGAGAGATAATTTTTGCACCTGTTCGCCACAGGAATAGCGGGGAGGGAAGCACAGAAGGAGAGAGAGAGAAAAAAATAGAGGGAACAGAACAGAGGAAGAGAAGGAGAGATAATATGAGATGAGAAGCAGGCATGGCAACAGGTTACGAGGGAAAAGCAAAAGGTGCCGATATCTTAATGGTTCAGTAAATTGGCTGTTTGCTACACATCAGCCCACAGACAGACACTCAGCACCACGGGGCCTCCCAGAAAACAGCAGAACAACAGAGAATTCTCCTAATTATGAGCTGATTGCACTGACAGCAATCCGTGCTCTGATTACAGCTGGAATAAATGATACAAGCCTCAATTCATGGTCAAACGGCTATTTCTGGCTTCATTCCTTCGTTCCCCATGCACCACAGATAAGGCCTGTCTGACTGTGCTTGGCAAAGATCACTCTAGATGACTGCTTTGGTAATACCCACATTTTGTGTTGCTTTTTTTTTTTTTATCTGTTTTTGAGTCATTAATGTAAACAGTCCTTTATTTTGACAGTTCAACTAATGAAACCCATAAGAAAAAAATTAAATTAATTAAATTAACATCAAATTATGAGAATTTATGAGCAATGTGTTGAAGAATGCATTCAGAAAGCCCTGCATCAGTGGTTCTCATCCTTTTTGTCTCTGATACTGTCAAAGGCAGTATTTGAAGGCCCCCCCAAGATACTTCTGCTATAATGGAAAGCTGACATACTTTTTAATTTACAGAAATTAGAGGCGATATTTAAAACATCATATTTAAAAAAATTTAATTAAAATAATTATAATAAAAATAATTTATTACATTTTTAACTAAAAAATTTGCATGACTTAATTCTGCTGTAATGACAAAGCTGAAATACTTTTTCAGACTTTTTAACTTACAGAAATTATTTTAAATTTAAAATGTATAAATAAATACTTTAAATAATTATTAATAAAAAATTTTACCAATTAATTGTTTACATGACATTTGTGATTAAATACATACTAGTTTGTGATTGGGATGTTTAAATTGTTTATATGTTTTTTTAATTATTATTAATTTTACTTTTATTTTAATTAATTAAATGATTTCTACCCAATAAAATATTTTTGATTATATTTTCTATATATTAAAAATGATAATCATTGTAAAAAAATAAGATCACTCGAAAATTCTGCTCACCGCTTCAGTGTGAACTGTGCAAAGACCTTCGCATGGTGTTCTACAACATAAATGGCATTCAGTCATATTTCAAATATGAATTTTGAAAATGTCAATTCATTTTTGGGCTGTGTTTTTAAAGCCCAACTATCACAAGAATGTGAGATTATGAGCCTGATGAATCAGGCAGCCATTGTAGTCCTTATGTTGGAACTTAGATTACCTATTTCATAAATTGCTTTAAAAAATTATTAGAAATCATTAGACATTCCAGAGGGAATCAACAAAAATTTGCCTTCCAGGCCCTACAAACTGAGGTCATGTACAGGAAAGCAGTTTTAATTTTTTTCATTAGTCACAGAAAAATTACATGCTTCAGCTTTAAATCGAAATATCTTAATAAAAGTGACTTAAATAGTTCCATAGTGCACTCTGGTGGCTTTGTCGTCATTCATGAGCGTATTAGCTTGGTCTGATGTATAAAAAGCAAAGCACAATTTGTTTTCTCTCACAGTTCACTGCATTAACATTAGTCTGTTTAGATCTGTTACTGGTCTCTTGGTCTGTCTTTACCATGTAAGCAAGTGAAGCATCCATTATTCCTCCATCAGTGGCTTCAACTCATGAGCTCCTCACTGGCCTGACAATTACCATGAATTATCTTCACTTCCAGACAATCAATTAAGAGAATTATTGAACTCCTCCAAAACCTTATCGGCTCTGCCCAGCAGGGCAGCACAGCGAAGATAGATCGCAGATTGTGAAACCTCTAAAGACTGACTCTTTATCACCTGAGAATTTGCTTTGCGTACTACCACATGGGCCTGCAGTCGCTCTGTCACAATGGTTAGGGAAAGGCTGGCCTAAACGTCCTTAAACTAAAGCTTTATGCAATAATCTAAAGTGGACTGCAGGTCCTCTGCCAATAACAAAAGCCAAGCTAATGGGGGGAAATTATATCTATTATACAATTTGCCCAGTAATTACACAGCATTTTTAATACAGTAGCTTACATTAACTGGATTAGATCCAGACAAAAACCTAATTAAATAATCTGTACAAAGTCACAAAAGCAGGTTAGCTGTGTCTTGGCATAATCTGATATTCAGTCAAACACACACACACACACACACACACACACACACACACAGTCATCACAGTCTTGTGCGCCATCAGGCTTCATCCAGCAACCCAAAAATGATCATTTTCTGCCATCTAGTGTTACATATAAATCAATCGGAGTGGTTGAATCATTTGTGATACCATATTGCCCTCTTATGGATGTTCTTAAACCTAACAATGGACATAGACATTAACTCTTTTATCGTCTTGTCTAGTCTCGTCATCAAAGTTACTAACAGACTTAAATGGATAAACAATTCACACTGGATTTATTATGTCATGGTTTTGGATATATTATCTGCAAAAACAAAGGCCTATCTTCTTTTATTTTTTTTTATAAATTTTTTTTAACGATACGAAACCCAAAAGTACTCACCAAATGCAAGATTTTTATAGATAAAACGAAGCATGGACATCCAATCGCGTCTTTTCCGTTCTTTCATTCACGTCCCATCAATGATCAATATTCATCAAGGCTTAATGTGAAACAGGTGTCAGCATTTTTTTAAAGGGACTTTTATTTTGCATTAAATATGAACGTCTCGTCCAAAACCAGGAAGGAATGCATATGAATAGATAAAAAGCTATGTAGGTTAAAAGTGTACAGATAGATGATTTTCCTTCATGCCATCTAGCATCTCTGAATTATTCTGACAACCTAACAGTAAACATTTTATCATAACAAGGTAAAAATAGATTTAAATCACCAAAAGAAAATAAATGCAATGCAATATAATCAATAAAATAATAGAAATGCAATGAATAATAAACATATATTGAACCATATTTAATGAACAAAATGCATCAGTTATTTTGTACTAGTTTAATTTACAGTTACATTCGAATGATCCATTCTCATGCAAATTAAGGAATAGGTAAGGACAGATAATTAAGCGAAAAACAAATACCAACATAAAGTATATATTTTGGACAATATTATAGGAATCAGACATTTTATAAAAATAACAACAAAATATATTTTTAAAATAAATATATAAATACTAAATTATTTTAAATAAATAATGTAATCAATTAATTTAAACAGATTTATGTATTATTTAACTATTATCTGTTGCCCCATCCTGCCATCCAGCATCTATTAATTATTTTGACAATAGAAAACATGTTATTATAACAAAATGAATATTAACAATAAAACAGATTTAAATTATCAAATTAAAAGAAATGCAATGCAATAATAAATAAACGGCTAATAAAAATGTAACACAATCACACTATATTTAATAAACAACTATGTAACTTATTTCACATTAGTTTAATTTACAGTTCATGTGAATGATCCACTGTCATGCAAATCCAGGAATATAGGCACAGATAACACATCTGAAAGCAATGCAGTTACAAATACACACAAATGCTTTTGCTAACATAAAGTATATATCTTGGACAATATTATAGAAAACAGACATTTAAGTAAAATAAAATATATTTAAAATAAATATATAAATACTAAATTATTCGGGGGGGAAAAATGAATAAATTAATTTTTAAAATATGTATTTCTTTATTAGTTTATTATTCTCTGTTGCACCATCCTCCCATTCAGCATCTATGAATTATTCTGACAAAATAAAATAAACATTTTATTATAACAAGATGAATATAAACAATAAAAATAGACTGAAGTTATCAAAATAAAATAAATGCAATAATATAATACATAAAACGTATAATAAAATGCAATAAATAATAAACATATTGCACTATATTTAATAAACAACAATGTAACTTATTATGCATTAGTTTAATTTACAATACAACACATCTGAAATCAATGCAGTTACGATACACTCTCTCACACAAAAATACTTTAATAATAATAATAATAATTTAGGAGTCAGACAATAATATAGGAATCAGACATTTTATAATAATAACAGCAATAAATTATATTTAAAATAAATGTATAAATACCAATTTAATAAATACATTTATATATATATATATATATATATATATATATATATATATATATATTTTATGT